AGAAGACATACTTTACTACCAAATTAGAACAATGGATGCTTTTGTTCATGCTTCGTATACGACACATTAGGATTTATATGGCAGCAAAAATCAGTCGAAGCGACCATACTACTTAAGTAGCCATTATATCGAGTGCGGTCTTCGCAGGTGACCGGAGAGGAGTACATTTAAAAGCGGACGCCCTGGCACGACTGAAATATCTTTGAAGTAAGTTGCGCGATAATCAATATTACAACCTCATTCAAGTAATCCTTCCATATCAAAAACGAACTGTAGAATTTCAATTAACATTTCATGAGATTGCACATTAAGTGTCCATGCCTCTAGCAGGGTAGAGCACATCTTAGTGAGAGCTGGGTTTGCTATGATACTCGGCAAATGGGTGGAGCCTGAGAGGTGAACGGAAAGTCATTGTTTCGGCGTGTTCAGAACTGTCGGCAGAGAAGGTGAATCGCGGTGGACGCTTGCATGGCGTGGGAGCAGCAGATTCCCAGCTGTCTAACGGCAAATACGAACCCCCTTAACCTTGGACAGACGCGCACAGCACATGTCCCACTAAGCCCTGGGTTTGGTATGTCTGACTGGTGACGGCTAGTAATCCAGAAACGGCTATTCCAGCCTCCGTTGTCTTTGTTGGCAGTGTCATTCTGCCTACATCATGCGCCGCTGAGCGGTTGCTAGGAGGGCATGAGATCGAATCCGCCCCAGCGCCATTCCAATGTCATCACTGAATGTCGTGCAGAATGCCTGCGTAGACGGGACCAGTAAAACCAACCCACCCAGTATTTCCATTCCATATTAACACGCAAGTTCCGAAACTGTACATTTTCCGCCAAGTTCTAAGTTGTTTGAGTATTTAACCGTGCCCGTATACGTTACCATGGTTATACTCTGCACTATATCAATTGAAGTAAATCCCCGCTCTGCTGCTGTATGAAGTTACCACGGCCTACGACACACTCTACGACGAGGCAAGCATGCTTTCTAATGTGTCATTTTCCGGATATATAGATAAACATCAGCGGAGCCCTTACATAGTCCAAGAAAGTAAATAGGATGAACATACTGTTGAACAAATCACACAGACGTCTACCCAACGCAAGTACGCAGTAACCATGCAAACAAGGATGGTTTTGGTAGAATAGCATTACCGACAGATATAGGGGAGACTGAAATGGCCATTTCTGGCTTCTTGGCCGTCGTCAGCCAGTCATGCCCAATCCCCAAGTGTGGAACACCTGGGGCTCAACCCCGCGACCTGTCGGTCAGAAGTCTAAAGCCTCTAACCACTGAGCCACGGGCTCGTTGTCCTGTCTCCCTTGTCTTTGTCGGTAATGCTATTCTGCCTATATCACGCGCCACTGTGCGGCTGCTAGTTGGGCTCGAGAGAGCTGCCCTAAGTGATAAATGAATTCCGTAACACGGTCGGTGAGCGCCCCTCTACCAGGGATGGTTTTATTTTCAGTCCTGCTAAAAAATTTTAAGGATTTTGCGAAATAACTATCCATCGCGAGTGGACTAGAAGTTATCAGGAAACGGAACGGAAAGAATGTTAAAAGGACACTGGTTTTTAGACGATCTGAGTCCGAAATATATTAAACGATTTCTGGCTATTTGATGCCAGAGCATTTATTGATGACTGCACCAAGACCGAATACACAAGCTCCGCTGAGTAATCTTATCATGGTTATAACCTCTGCCGGACTGACCAATGAGAATATGGCCAGCGTTTTTGACGAATAAGTAATCTTTGGGTAGCGTCAATCACCCGTCAGGGCTGTCGAAGAGGTATGAACATCAAGATGACACCTTTGAGAATACCGCGGAGTTGGAACGCTCGGCAAACTGGCTAAGTTGGGCTCGGTTAAGAAAGACTGGACGCAACTGATGAAGCAATTCAGCCGTGACAGTAGAGAAGAAGGTGAATCACAGTGGACGCTTGCAGACGCGAGGGCAGCAGATTCCCAGCTGTCTCACAGCAAATACCAACACATTTAGTTCAGTACAGATGCGCACTGCGAGTGTATGACTATAACAGGACCCGGTCTCACAAATTACGGTGCATTCCTTCGCCCCGAAAGGCATTAGGCGGGAAACAGACGCGACATCTGAGCCCCCGGGAGCCCAGTGGTAGCTGACTGCAATCGACCATGTTGTTGAAAATGAAGCTGGCTAATGGCAGTCGCCAAAAGAACGCACACTGATGGACATGAGCAGAGTTCATCAGTTGCCGGGTTGACATTGTGGCTGTACTGCTGCGCATTAGTGTTCCGCCACAGCAACACGTTGTCTCCCCCCCCCCGTGCCTGCGTCGGAGAGTCAGTGTTGGAGCTTCTCTGTTCCACCGACACACTGCACAGTTCAACCTTCTTTGAGTCACACAAATTGCGCACTAACCGAGTCGGGCCCTCCAACACGCCAAACCACTGCCAC